AAGTTCAAAAGTCCAACAGACGACAGAAAACCAAACAGCACCTGTTTGTATGAGGCAGTCTTGCTGTTTTGAAGAAGACTTGTGTTTGTTGCTAGCTACCAAAACAGACAGAAAGACAAATTTAAAAAAAACACCTTGTAAAAAAATATTGCTCGGCCTAACAGCCATCTTCACAGTCTGCTCTTGTGAAAAAACAGAGAAACAAACTTTCTGTTGAATGTAATATTTCTCAACACAGTGTTGTTCAACAGGATATTCACACTTTGCCTTTGTTCTTTAAATCCATTTTTACAAAATAGTAGCATATCTGCAATGATTACAAACTATACAAAATTAGGACCAGTGTATCAGAAGGATTCTACTTTGGTTTCCTAGTGTGTGTGGCTTTAGATAGGGGAGGACACGTAGGGCTCTTTCTTGCCTTTACAATGCGTGTGTGCTATTATGGAAAAAAAATCAGAACATAGCATATTGAGCTATTTTTTTTACAAAGAATATCTAGATTGGATATAAAGCAGCCTTTGAAACTACAAAAATGACATTTTAAAAAAGCTGTAGAAGAATTTTGTTCAAAATAGTTAAACGTCATCAGCTGGTAGGGATGGTATGCTGATTTTTGCTCTTGTGAAGTATGCAATCTTCTCCCTTTAAACAAATAATGGGAAAGAAGAAATACATTTTAATTAGTTAAGGCAGCACAACGAATTCCAACATACACAGTAAAATACAATATAAAAGAATGAGAGGGCTGAGTGGCATGTTTCTCTCCAAGCCAACATATCTGTCTGAGGACTGGTGACATCTGTGGGCCTGGGAATCAATTCTTGTCCTTGCATCTTTTTATAGGTCACACTGGAAGGGGAGCTACACGGGCATTTCCAGTTTTTATATTGGGTTTGGGGTGCAGTGGGGAGATTGGTACTACTTAAAGCCCCTAAGGTGAAAAGCAGCATACTTGGAAGCCTCCAGGTATAGAAGCAGGTCCTACAATTAGCATTTTTTCCTTACTGCTTGGGGTGGTCTTGGGAGGTGCAAAAATGGCCCTGTGGGACCGCATGTGGCATACAGTCCACACTGTGTCCACAACTGACCCCTGGGGCAGCCTTTTGTTTTAACCCTTTTTATGTAAGTCTGCCTCTGTAAAGGCCTTTGGCCAGAAGCAATAAATGTACAGAGAGAGAGAGAGAGAGAGAGAGAGAGAGTCCATTTCTGCTCTGTATAGCAGATGTCTGAAAGCCAACAGGGAACTAGCAAGAGCTGTCTGAGGACAATCTAACAGAAATACCCATTAAAAACCACAGAGGAGTGGCTTTTGTCTCTTTACTTCCAGAAACTCTGATGCAGCACTCAAATACAGGCAGAGAGAAAGATGCCCTGACCCCTTACTTTTTGTGATAGCCCCTTAACCAGTGTTCAGAAACACAACTGGGAAAAAAACTGGTGCAGGAAATGTCAGGGCAGGACTGACATTAGAAATATTTCTTACCACTCTCTAATCTGAGTAGCACACTAAAAGTATGTACTGGAAAGGTCTCAATGTCCATTGCTCCAATCAAGGTCATTTTGTAAGAGTTCTTTAAGGGGAGAGCAAGCTATATTTTGCTTTGGTGCCGTAATTCATACATATAGCATGCCATTACTACAACACACCGTGTCTTTGTGAATATTATAATCTAAACTTAGGATTCCAAAGAGGGCAATCACACACACCCCAGCCCCCAAGGACATACCCAGTCCCTACAGAGATCTGAGCAGGCGGGGGGGGGGGAAATCTCCCACTCATGTCTTTGTGAATATTATAATCTAAACTCAGGATTCCAGAGAGGGCAATCGCACACACACCAGCCCCCAAGGACATACACAGTCCCTACAGAGATCTGAGCATGGGGGGGGGGAAATCTCCCACTGTGTAGCCAAATATAATAGGAGAAAAGGTGCACCAAACAGGCCATTTAATCTGTTGTGAACAAGTGTGTTAAATGTATCCCAACAGCACTAAAACAATTCACTGGCTGAAACCCTACTGTGTCCCACTTTTATGTCTGAGGATATGGACTTTCTCACAAAGGCTCACATTAAAATACAGCAGTTAATCTTTAAGGTGTCCTTAAGGTGCCACAAAGTTTTTGTCTTCTTTCTTTATTTTTGCTTGATACAAAATCCGACTGTGCAGCTCCACGTGCACAATGGGAATGACATCATCACCAATGGCAAATTACTGCTGGTCAAAGGCTTCCTTGGGAGATTTCAGTGTGCAGAGAAATTTGTCAGTTTGTGCAATTTTTGCCAGTGCAGCAGAAGGCATCCTTGTTGCATATGCAGAGCTGCACAGCAGGATTTCATCTATTAACCTTTCATAACTCCATGTCCCATGTGGTTCTCAAACATGATAAGGTATGAATAGATGTCTGAAAGCTCTCCACTCTAAATTTAGTGCAGAATTTATTTTTTCTATATTGTGGATTTGGGGATCAATTCTACCCCTATTAGAATGACTGAGACAGAACAAAGCACACACACACACACACACAGAGAGACACACACAAACCCCACCCCATAGACATAATGCATTAGAGATCCCTGGTGTTTGTATGCTGCCCCATATGTCTGTTTTGCTATAGCAAATACACAACTAAACTGTGCCCAGTTCTTCCCCCATATAGGAGGCAGTGGCTGTTTAAATGCCTGTATCATTTGGAAGCTGAAGAACCAATGTTTATGTGAAGACCTCAAAGATTTCTCTTCCTAGCTGATCAAAGTCCAGAGATGATCAAGCTCTGAGCTTCTACTAGAGACATACCCAGCTTGCTTGGGATGACCTGATTATAAATGAGAGACAAAAGTCTCAGGATGCAGAAACTAGAATCAAGTTCTTTATTCTGTATTCTTTAAATGGGTAGTTAAGAAGCTTTGGCTCGACATGTTCGGCGAAGCCTTCTTCAGGAGCAATAATCAGTTTTGGGGCTGGTATAGACCAAAGAAAGGTGCAGAGAATATAAAGAAGCTCACTCCTGAAGAAGGCTTCGCTGAAACACATTGAGCCAGAGCTTCTTAACTATCCATTTAAAGAATACAGAATAAAGAACTTGATTCTAGTTTCTATAACCTAAGACTTTGCCTCTCATTTATAATCTGGACGAGAGATGGGGACAAATAAAAAAAAATGGTGATCCATTTTGATTCGTGATCTGTCAAGGTTAATGGATCAATGGATATGAATCTACGAATATTCTTCGACAAATTGATCTGTCTTTGCTTTAAATGGCTATAAAACTGGACCCCAACCACCTAGAGACACCAAATGTGTGGGGAAGCTTCCTCAGACACTTTCCTACAAGGTCTGAAAGTTTGGTGAACATTGGATCATGGACCCCTGCATTATATACTCACAAAGAGGACCCCCCTGGAAAGTTTCCCCAACATGCCTGCCAACTTTGGTGAAGATTGGATATCAGACATCTGAGTTATTCACCCACAAATTGGAGAATTTACCACACTGCATAGAAGCCGATAGGCAGCTGCAACCCCCACAGCGAGCCACCCCAACAGCCTACCTATCCCCTTCCTTTCCCTACATTAGCCCCCATTGCACTCCCACCAACACCCCCTTACCTTAATAGCTGCTACCAAGGTCTCCATCAGGCTTCTGGGGCCACGGAGTGTAAAAAGGGAAACTGCAGAGATGGCGGCTGTGGCTTCATTTAGGGTAGGGAAGCTGCAGCTGCCATCTTTTTAAAGGGCAGTCTGGATTCCCTTAAGGCAGGCTAAGGAAATCCAGGCTACCCTTTGCAAATATGGCAGCTGCAGCTTTCCTACCCTAAATGAAGCTGCAGCCATCATCTTTGCAAAGGGCAACCAGTCTCCCTTTTTATGTGCGGTGGCTCGGACTAGGCCAAGAGATCTTGGCAGGTGGAATTAAGGTAAGGGGCTGTTGGTAGGGGTGGGCTAAGGTAGGAAAAGGAAGGGGGTGGGTATGGTATCGGGTGGCTGTGTGCGGTGGTGGCTGCCTTCCTGCCGCTGATCAGCTGATTGGCGTCCGGTAGGCAGAATGTTTTTTTTTAATGAAGTATGAATAAATACGGGTTTATATTTGTCCTTTCATATTCATGGATCCACAAATATGGATCAATGGATATTTAACGAATTAGCTATATACATCAGAAAAACCGATCTGTTTTTACATCTGTCCTAATCTCTAATCTGGACCTCCACGGATATACTAGTTCCTGTTGTTTTGGGATGACCTGAGAGATATCATCGGAACTAGGATGGCCTACTGCTACCTTTTGGAGATGACCTGAGAGATATCATCAGAACTAGGATGGCCTACTGCTACCTTTTGGCCACTGTGGGATTGCACAGGTTACATCCAGCACAACTGTTCCTTTCTTCTCAAATGGCTGAACCTGGGGTGAAAATTCACTGTAGACCATTACTGCCTTTTCCAACAGCCATCAGCAGCTGGAGTCCATAGGTGATTACATTCAACAGCTTGACTCCCTTTTTATATTTCTACTTCTGCAAAAAGCACTATATTGTAAAAACCAAAGCGAACCAAAACGAAAACGTATTTTAAAAAGAATATGCCATAAATGGATTTCCATTTCTCAAGGATTTAATCCAACAACATTGGTTAACTCTTGAAAGATATATTCTTAGAGGAAAAGGTTAATTCAGAGATTGCCAGTGATGTTTATAGAGCACCAAAAGAGATGAATTCTCCTTACCTGAACGACTGCACCTGTAGCGGCACTTTCTGGCTCTGTTCTCGCAACCGGCACACATCTTTCGAAGCTTTCCTCATCAGTTTCTCTGCACTTAAGCCCCTTTTCTTTTCTTCCTTTGATTGTTCAGCCTGGGGAGCCAACAAAATTGCAACAAACATATAACAACTGAGAAAAGATTTAAAGGAAATTGAGAAAGTGCACCTTGCAAAATCCCTTCAGCAAAGATATGTGTTTTTTTTTTAAAAAAAGCACACTAGCACAGCAACTAAGATGACCTCAGCCTCATATAAACAAGATGTTGGGTGCATGAATCTGACTACATTATTACTGGCATGGCTAGATTTAAATCAATGTGCCAGTCTTTGCACTCCAGCTGTACAGGCATAAAAAGACAATGTGCCAGAGGCTGGCAGAGGAATTATGATACCTTCAAGCCAGGTCAACGGAAGTCCGGCTTGCCCAAATGGTTTTTCCCCAACCCAGTATCTAATTTAATTGGTCCTTAGGATGAGTTAAGTAACAGCTATGGCTTGGATTTCATAATCAGACAGTGTTCAGCCACGTGCTTGAAAACCCTTGTGGCAATTAAGAGTGTCTAATACCTCAAACAACCTAAATTATCTTTCATTTATCTACTGCCTGTGATGTTGATTAGTTTCATTAAAAGCCTTCCTGTTGTGTTAATAAAGTATTCTGCCATCTCAGTGTATCTGAACTTTTTATCTTAGTACTAAAAGCCCTAAAGTGCCTGTTGACTTTGGAATTTTAAGAGGAACAATATTTCTTACAGCCTGCAATATGGAGTATGCACACTCCAGAGGCCAGCATGTGAAAGATTTTGAAAATTCAGAGCACACTGAATTCTCAGGAGTCCCATTCTGCTTAATGGAAATTATTCCAAGGAAGTATGTAAAACGCTGCCAACCAGTCTGGTACAATAGACACAGTGACAGACTAGGACTCAGGAGATGTGAGTTCAAATCCCTGCTCAGCATGAAAACTCATGGGAGGTGCAGGTGGTATGGGTAAAGCCACTCCTTTAAATGTTTCTTCTTCTTTTTTAACTTTTCATCTTTATTGATTTTAAAAAAGAAATTATAAAAATAAATAACTATCACAAGATTAGCACATAACCAAAATAACTTTCTATTATCTCTTTCGCAAAACAGCAAATCTTTTAACATTTTTACTTCCTTATTTTCCACCGGACATTTATTTTCTTCGCAATCTTAATAATACCTTTCTTAATTCTTATTTTATATTGATATTAACAATCTGCTTTACTTTGTTTTTATTTCCGTTGAGAGCAGTTCAGATTCTAATTTAAGCCTAAATCACTTGGTACAGGTTTGGAATCTTTCTTCCATTTCTCTTTAAGATAATTCTTTACTTTCCCCCATTGAGATTCATGCTCCATTCTACTCTTTCCTTTCAATGAGTCTCTTAGTTTGCCCATTAATATTCATTCCTTTAATTTTATTAAACAATCCTCCACCAAAGGTTTCTCCTTGTCTTTCCATTGTTTTGCCACTTGAATTCTGGCTGCGCCCAATATGTATAAGCAATTTTTGGTCTCTTGTCTTGAGTTTAGCTTTACCATATTGAACAAATAAGTTTCAGGTTTCATCTCCATTTTTATTTTTAAATCTATGATGATTATTTTTTCTATTTCTTTCCAAAATTTCCTAATAAATTTACAACCCCACCACATACAATATAGTGTTCCTTTTATTGTCTTACATCTCCAACATTTATCTTTCTCATTTTTCTTCACCTTTGCCAATTTCTCAGGTGTCATATATCATCTATATAATATTTTCATATAATTTTCATTCAAATCTGTACTTATTAATAGTTTTTTGCTATCATTCCATGCTCTAAACCAATCCTCTGTTCAAATTGTTCTACCTAATTCCTGCATCCATTTTATCATATTTTCTTTAATTGCTTCCTGTTCCATATTTCTTTCCAATAATAGTTTATACAATTTTGTGATTTGGTGATTTTCTTTTCCCCATATTATCTTGTCTAGTTTCGTAGGTTCTTTATCAATCCTATTAATTTATTGTCCATTTTCATTCTTTCTGATAGCTGTCTGTGTGGAAAACACTGCCATAAGCATACACATATTCTGAATGAAGCTTGCCAGCTGAAGTAAAAAACCTGGTGAAGAATCTTGGTCAGAAGCAACACCAAAACACATCAGCACAGTCAACCGGGGTGTCTTATGGAACCATCTCACCAGAACGTCATATTTATCCCTTGCTAAATGCCTGAGGGTCTATCTGAAACTATAGAGAATCAGATGAGTGTTATGTCCCACTCTATACTGTGGCACCTTTAAAGAGTTAGTATTTGTGAAGGTGGAGGACTTACAGATATCAAGTATAAAAACACCATTTTGTTGCTGCAAATCAAAACTGCCCCCATCTTGCAGCTGTCTGGAGTCCTGAGGATTCTGAGCATATCCACACTATATTGTCAAAGCACTTCAGTGCAATGTTAACTGGGAGGCTCATAAAATTTGAGAGTTGTTTTGTCCACAAATGAAATGGTTTGTTACTTATTATTACTGGGATATTCTGAAATCGGAATATGAATATAGATAATACCATCATTTTGATAACTGCTATTCTGCCCACCAATGAGATTTTTAAGTATTTCCATCTCTCTAAATTCTTTTTAATTTCTTTCCCTTTCTTCTCACAATTTTGTTCAAACAA